AACGATGACGGTAGCTCATTTTGGTGATAAGATCTCTCATTCGACGACAGAAGCATTGTCCAAAACATCATAGAGGATGTTTGAAGAAACTTTTCTGATTGCATCTGTTTCAGTTTTGAAGAATCTCTTTGTCAGCTATGCATGATATCGCATCAACTGATCCGAAGTTCTTCAAGCTTTCGATTTAAAAAATCATCGTTACGGTCATTGTGTTCTATCCACCAAATTTGATCACAAAACAGAAGGAATCCATCTGCGACAGTTTACTGCGTTAATTTCCAATTCCAGATTTGCTTTGGACAGCGCCAGAAGTACTGAAAAGTCCGGCTATGGAGGGTTCTAAAAGTGGCGATATCTACAGCTTTGCCATCATAGCATCTGAGTTGCTTTGCTTAACCCCACCGTGGAATATTGGTGAACGTAGAGAACAGAGCGCAGGCCAGTAATTCCTAATGTATCGTTCGTTACCTTTTAAAGTGGCGATATCTTCGAAAGAATTCAAATCTCTTTTTTTTTGTACAACTTGAGTCATCATTCCTCATGAACATGTGCAACTCCGAATCATTCGTTACGGATATCAACACAGTTTGATGGTGTTCTCAATCTATGAGCAATTGCGAATCTAAAATAATTTTCAGAGATCATTTACATGGTCGAGCATGGCCTCAAGCCACCGCTACGCCCTGATCTAAGCGCAATCGTTCATCAGGACATAAATCCTGCTATGGTNGAATTGAAATGTTGCATTCGGTCAATGATGAAATTCTTGAGAACTCGGCATGAAATCAATAATGTTCAGGTACATGTTGTTCGAGATTGCTGGTCTGAAGACCCGGAGAAGAGACCAACCGCCACAATGCTGAAAACACTCCTTCGAAAGATGAATCCTGGAAGGTAGCCGATTCTCAGCCATTCGATCCAATCAGAGCTATTCAGTCATTCAAGTGATGCAATTTGCCTAGCAATTTGAGTGGATTTGAAATAAAACGTGGATTCATAACTCACCATTGTTCTCAGATGCCCTTCGCTCCTGGTCTGTGATAGATTTTGTTTTAGAAATCATAATCTGATGGATCACGTTTTCTCAATTTTGGAAAGCTATGCCGGGCGTCTAGAGGGTGAAGTGGAGGAGCGCACGAAAGAGTTGATTGCGGAAAAGAAAAAATCTGATCTTCTCCTTTACCGAATGTTGCCGAAGTATGTTCTATGATATGATTGCTTTGCTCAGCGCATTTCGGTGATTACTTTTTTGCAACATTTCGTATTTTGTCAACACTTAATTTTGCTTCAC